TGTGAAACGATGAGTAATTTTTGTGCGGTTTACGACACCCTTCTGCCTTCTCGTGTTCCAGATTAAAAACTCACTTTCTCTCTCCAAACAAGTATCACGTATTACATACTATCAATGTTTCGGGGTCGATAGAAAAATTGTACGCTGAACTGTAAAATTATACTTTTGAACGTTGTATGCTGAAATGAAATCCTGATTTTTTTTCTTCTATTAATTAATTATTGAAATTAAAGACCTGGAGTTAGGTTAAAGCATTCGAGTACTAATAAATTTTTGATGTTTCTGGATAACTTGATAATTGACAGCATAAGATATCCTTCATTGCGATCCTACTAATTCGCGACTAAAGATACAAGAAGTTTGAAGAATTTCGTAGGACTAATGCTAAGATTTAAAAATATATTATGATTTGGAAAATGGAAAAAAGTGAGCCCATACGATTACACCAGCATTATAAACAGTTTGTCAATTTTTGGTACTTGTCGAAGAATCTTCTTTCCTAACTATCGGAACAAGTATGAATAATAAATCAACATCATTTGTGATAAGTTCTTCATACTGGCATAATACCCTCAACTAGGTCTTATTCCGATTCAAATAACAGTTTTTGACGTTCATCTGTCCGCATCGGAGTCGAAATTTAAAAGCATTCGAAATACTTCCGATATTAAAGGATCCTAAATTATTATGACATTTTTCTGAACTGAGCTAATTTCATTTGATCTACATTTAATGAACCTTATTTGAGTTTAAAGGAGTTGAGGAAGAGATGAATTAAAATTTAGTAAATTAGAGAGAAAAATATTGGGAGAATTAGCTTTTCTACTTCATTAAATATCGTGCATAATTACTTTCAAAGTACTAAATACATAGGCGTGATTAGGGAAGGTAGGCAGGGCAAATGCCCTGCACGTCACTTTGGGAGGGGCGAATATTTCCTGGGTAGCAATAAAACACAGAAATAATCTTTTTTTCCTTTATTACAATTTTTGGAAGTATTTTTTGTTACGAAATATGACGACGAAAACGTCTCACTCAGACACCCACGCAGAATTTATAATTCAGTACGGAGATAAGTTTTTTCCGAACCCTTTAAGTAATCTCTCTCTCTCTCTCTCTCTCTCTATTATATATATATATATATATATATATATATATATATATATATATAAGATAATAGGTCGAACAACCATTGGTATCACTAGATGGTAGATGGTATATATGTATTTAATTCTCATGAAAACTGAAACCACAGTCACTTGTCGAAGTTATGTTCGCACTCTGGTATTAACTCTCTCTTATACCTAGGACCATCTAGTGACACCAATGGTTGTTCGACCTATTATCTTGTGAGTGTGAAACGAGATGAAACAGAACAAACTAATTTTAATGAAATGGTTGATCAGTTTACATCGGCAAAAGCAAAAATACTGTCATTTCAGTTTTATCAGTATATTTATGTTAGTTGTAATTATATCTCATCATACCTTTTTTAATTTTTAAAATGTTACCGTCTTTTTCCGCCATCAGCTCCCGAAATATAAAACTAGTCTTACGAAACTAATTACCTTAGCAGTTAATGTGATAAAGTGAAACTCGAAATAATTTACCAAATCATGAACTGTATATCTATACTCATTTTTTGTACTCGCTTTTGTGGCATATCCAATTCACTCCGTGAGACAATATTTTTCTATAACGATAAAGGCGACAATTTTCAGACAAGCTATGCGGGCAATTCCCTGGCAAATGTGAAGTGAGGTGAGGTGAGGTGAGGTGGGTCCGGTCAACTGCTACCTGTAGGCAGCATAATTGAAGGTGGTTGTGGTGGGTTTAATTTTGTAAAATTGGGATTCAAATTGGATTACACTGCAATATTTTATTGTAAAACTTACTGTAAATAGCCTAACCGGGAAAGGAGGTATTCACAAACTACAAATCCAAAGGCTGACTAGAGAAATGAAGAAATACATTAATTAATTTAGCTATTTTTCCGCCTGGTCCGCGCAGGACATTTTTTATTTCTTGGCCGTTTCAACAATTGAAGGTTTCCGTAGCTTTTTTAGCCTTTCTATTTTATATATTTGGAACTGCGTGCCTGTGTCTTTCCGAGCGAGGTAACTGATATAGTAATTAGTCCCGTAAGTTTGAACGTGTTGTATCCCGGTAAGGGTGGTGTTACTCCTCTACTGAAACATGAGATTCGGCAGTGTCCATCAGTTTGCGGGGTTCCCCCCTCAGGTGTCTCCGCCAGCTGGGCACTGCCTCAGTCTGGACATGCTCTAAGCTCCCAACTTCAGATGTGGTAGTGTGAGGCGAGTGAGGCGAGTGAGGCGAGTGAGGCGAGTGAGGCGAGTGAGGCGAGTGAGGCGAGTGAGGCGAAACCACGCATAACGACCGATCAGATCAGCTGGTTAGATATCTATGCTGAATTCGACCTCGCTGTCTAGCTACCACCTCCGTTGCGACTCGAACCCAGTCAGAGACGCTGCTATTGGAACAGTTGATGCACTGTGGCATTTCAGGCGATCCGGTAGCTTCGTAAATCGTAAGGTTCTCTTTGGTTCTGCAGCATCAGTACGTTTCCAACCGTGCATCGAATACCAGTGTACTGGATGATTATAATTATGAGTTTTGTTTTATTAGGTGTGCAGCGTCTGAAATTGCCTAGATTCTCTAAAGCGTGGTAATTTGAACAGGTGTCAGTGAGATTCGAGGAAAAAAATATTAAAGTTTCAAAAATATGTCGATTTTATACGTATCGTACACATAGGAAAAGTCTGTGTAACTGTCGCAGTTCCTAATACCATTTTTAATCTCTCAAAAATAAAGGTGTATTGTTTCGACTGTATTGTATTGTGTATTGTTTGGAAAGAACGTGTGCTCTTTTATATTTAATAATAAATAGTGGCATAACTAGTGAGACAACGACAGCACATACTTACTCATATTATTTGTATACCTGCAATTCTCGAAAATAGAGAGTTCAACGAAAATGAGAATTGCGCTATTTTTAAGAGGTCTTTGCTCTACCAATGACTAATTTAAAGAAAAAAAATTGAACCGTTTTTGATAATATTTTTATTTCTTCTCATCGAGCGAAAACAGTACATATATTCAAAAAATTAAATAACTTTAATTAAATATTTATTTTTAGAACAGATTATATTTAAAAAAATGTGTCTATCATCAACATTGTGCTTTCGTAATGATAATGTTTGGAAACTTTCGAAAATATAGAGTTCACAAAAAACCATATCAATTGTTTATAACCGTGCTTTGCCCTATTCGAAAAAACAAAAAATTGGAGCAGTTTTTGAGAAAATACTGTATTAAAATTGCCTATATTTTTTGCACTCATTCGAAAAGTAGTCATATTTTCGAAAAATTATACCTGATATTATTTAAATATGTGTTTGAAGTACAGATTTATTTAAGAAAAGTGTGTCAGCCGTTGTATGTAATCTAAGGTTTCTATGATGCCTAATACTGCCATTGTCGGTTCGGTCTGCGAATATCGATTTTTTTAGTATTAAATATTTTTTTGAGCAAGCGGAGGGGGAGGGATAATTATTTACTCAGTAGTAGCACAGTTATTGGATGTTGGGACAATGTATTTTTAAAAAGGTACAGAACCTCTTATATATTTCCTTAGCGTATTATAAATACGGAGAGAAGATACTTAGCAATGTCTTGTTTCCCTAGCACAAAACTCCTTCAACTCCCATGCATCCTTCCTCTTGTAACGTGCGTTTGCTCACAACGCATTCGCCGTTCTCGTTCGGGAACCTGTTTTCTCAGGCCGAGCATGCGTCTTGCGCTTTCGCGCGCTGCCTTCCGAGAAATCACTGGCGCGCGCGCGCGGTCATCTTAAAGGCGAGTGACCACTTGAGAGATAAGTCCTCTACAGCTCGTGTCGGAAGCATTTTGTACCAAAGGACACAGATCTGAGAACATGATTCTCGCAGTGCTGCCGCGGTCTTTTAAATATACTGAATATAGAAAATGTATACTATCATTTATGAATGTGTACTGTAATATTGATGGATCACATACCCTCAACTCGTCATATATTGAAATATATTCACACACATCGTCTGTGTTTGCGTCCGCCTGTCGGTCCGTCCGTCCGTGTGTGTTTGCGTCCGCCTGTCGGTCCGTCCGTCCGTGTGTGTTTGCGTCCGCCTGTCGGTCCGTCCGTCTGTGTGTGTTTGCGTCCGCCCGTCGGTCCGTCCGTCTGTCCGTCCGTCTGTCTGTCCGTCTGTCTGTCTTTGCGTCCGTCCGATGGTCCATCGGTCGGTGTGTATCTTTGCGTCCGAACGTCCGTCCGGTTTTCACTTCTTGCACCGTCACTTGTATTTATGACCACAAATGTGGGCATTTCCCACCCGTGGCGTAATGCTTGCGGTGCGAGTGATGTCAAGGGGTCTGTCAAGGGGGTTGGGGTTATCCTCAACGCCACGTAACACTTTAATAATCGTTCCCTTTTTTCTCCCCGAAGGTATGTTAGGGTGAGTGAGAGCAGTGTTGGACCTATGCATCGCAACGGGAGCGCTACTTGGATAGTACCTAACCTGTAACCAAGTTCAATTGGCCGGTTCAGTCGGTGCCCTTGGCTTACGAGGTACTAGCGTCAAGAGACCATTATCGTTCGGTCTGCGCTCTCCAGTCACATCTGAGTTGAATGGGCTGGGGGATACAGAGAGTCAGCTTATAAACGGAAGGTTAAAAAATACGTGAAAATTTCGATATGGTGATGTTGATAATGATGGTTATTTTTATATTTGGCATTTTTTCTTAAATGATAGCTGTGTATTCGTTCTCAGGAAATTCTTACTAAAAATATATAGTACTTAAAACTTTACATTTAGAACACGTGTATAACACAGATGTTCTTATAGACGTTATGTTTAGAAACAGTTGTTACTTCCAAAACTGGATAATTTAGTGCTGTTTTTTTAAGCAAACTAACTGAAACTATATTTTCTTTTCTTTTTCAGCATATATCATCCAGTTTTCATTCGTCATGTGCTTTTTCTGGCTAAACATCTTGTGCATTGATGTCTGCTGGTATATACTGTAAGTATATCGTATGTAGTACCTTTCGAAATCTTTTGTAATTTCTCTTACATTTTGCAAGAGACTTGAAAAGGTAAATATCAATTTGTATATTATTTTTTCAGAGCGTTCACTGGCGCTATTGGCTATTATCCTTGCCTGCCACAATGGCAATTTTGGGAAACAAGAGGCTGGCTGCGTGTCGAAGATGAAAACATTGACAGATACCAAGAGCAGATTTTTGCAAGAAAAGTGTTTTATGGATATGCCACATATGCATGTGGATTGCCGATTATTCTATTAATTATTGTCATAGCTCTTGATTTAAATCCGGCGTTGCCTATATCGTATCTTAAGCCAAGTATGGGAGATCTTGTGTGCTGGTTTAGTAGTAAGTATGACCAGTCAAATTTATTCACTGTTACCTAATAAATTTCTTAATATTAACGTAATATTTTTCAATCACATTGAACATCAATTTTGAAATTGGATAGTTGGTGACAGATTTAAAAACATGTAACAGTAAGTAACTTGAATTTTGTAGATGAACAAGGAGCACTACATTATTTTTATGGACCAATTGGCTGCATCCTCGCAGTAAATGTGGTATTATTTTGTATAACTATGTATCGAGTTGCAAAACATAATTGGAATAGCAGAGGTCCTCACAGGAAGCCAAAACAGAGGTAAGAAAAAATCAATTTAACATATATTTACATTGGATAACTCATTTCGGCTGTACATATATTTCAGTATGTTCTGCACATTACGAGTGAAAGTTTTCTTTTTGTAATTTTATTAGATGTGTTTTGTTTTAATGCACAGCAGTTTGCCAAAAAATATTGTTCAAAGAGCAGATTGTGCTTATGTTAAATCGATAGACGGTCGCCTAGGCGACGGGCCACGAGGACCTCGCGATAGCAGCAAGCTGGTTAGTCGCGTTATTTTAATTGCGCAAACCACTTTGTCTAAAAATTGGTTAATTAATACTTTCTTTTATAAATGTAATTTTATTAATCATCTTCAGTATTCATAAACGTCCGTAATAAAGCAAGCCCGAACACACTGAATCGACAGATCAACCCAAACAGTTCTTAGTTCAAAAAGTTAAGAGTATAAAGCTGGCTTTACACTTGCAAGAAAATGGAGAGCAAGTTGCCAATGTAAGCATTGCGGCAATAAATATATATATAAATATATATAATAAATAAATATACATATATATATATATATATATATATATATATATATATCTGATGTTGGCAATATTTCTTGCAAGATATTCTGGTCAAAATGTAAACTCGTGTGTTTCCGTCCTCGGAAAGATATAGCCGGCTATTGCTGGGACTACAATTGGATTGAAATCTGAACAAGATATTGCTCGAAGAAGACAGCGATGACCACGGTCACATGCGCAGGGAAGTACGGTTAAAGTAGAACGCAATGTAATATTTCCATTGTATTATGCTTTTTTTCGTAAAATGGATGTGTGAAACAGGTTTACTATAAATGAAATAGTAATAAATCTTCTCAACACTCTATGGTTGATTATCAAAGGTTTAAATTTTCTTTGATTTTCTCCCCGGTTTCACTTTTATGACAATGCTTCTTTTTAGGATCAACGGGTGCAACAAATGTAGTCGATTCGACATTACCTTGATCACGCAATTCAAGCGCGCACAATTTTCTATTCAATAAATTCAGTTTTATTCTCAGTCGAAATCGTGTCCCTCAAGTCTTTTTAAAAAAAATGTTATGTTCTTTTCCCAGCATAGATAAGATACGACCACTGAACATCCTCTTGGACAAAGTATTTTCTTCATTCTTCGTCTTTCAAATCCACGAACAATTGCAGTTCTGCGGCATGCGTACTGATGTCTTCTTTGTCGTCACGCGTCACGCGAAAAACAACGCGATCAGCATATTCAGTCGTTGCGTACTGCTGCGCTCAAACCGCACAATCCATTTTGTCAAAATCTCTGCAATTCATCACGAGCTCGGCAATAGTTTTTCCTAGCACACTTGATAACAAACTTGCTGTTTTTGCGTCGTCCTTTTTCCATTGCTGAAATGCTTTCTGTACCGCATTTGCGAAGAAAGCAATTGCGAAAGAAAAAATAAAGAAAGAAAGAAAAAATAAAGAATAAAGAATAAAGAAAGAAAGAAAAAATAAAAACATGTTTTATTTTGCAAAATATCTGAATACTTTTGAATGGTAATATTATACTGTTTTCATCATCCTAATTTCTTTTTAGGGCACGCATGTGCTTGGTGCTCTTCCTTGCAATGGGCATTAGCTGGATTATGGAAATTATATCTTGGGCTGTTGGAGGACCACCATTTGTTTGGGCTGTTACTGATGCTTTCAACGTCCTTCAGGGAGTAGTTATCTTCATAATATTTGTGATGGAACCCCGAGTCAGAGTTTTGGTTTGCAAAAAGTTAAGTAAGAGGAGAAGCTATTTCTCCAATTACTGAACATTATAATGATTTTACAATTGAAAAGAAATACTAATTGAGTAAAATAGAATTGGAAAAATTAATGAAATATTTTCAATATTACATTGGAATATATTATTTCAATCTTAATAATCTTCTGTATGTTAACAAAAAACTCAAGAAAAACAATTCAGCAGATATTCACAATGTTCCTATTACATTTCATAGTCATTGAATTATTAATAACCATTGAGGCAAGAATTGAATGTATTAGTAAGTAAGTAAAGTAGTGTACTTTGTCAAGATAAGTCAAATAACAAATTTCAATGAATTATTTAAATGATGACGAAGAATATAAATCAAAGAACTGAAATTTGATTGAAAATGTTCATTGAAATTTATTGAAGCACCAGAATTTAAATAAATACTGGTACCAACAAAAATGATTTAATGGTTTACATTGCAATTGTTTCATTCTAAGATATCAAAGATTTTATTCATTACAGTTACCATAAATATTAAACCATAAAGTGGATCATAAAAATATAGGAAAGATGACATTGTTTATAACAATTCCACAATTTAATTCTTTTTCCTTTTTTTATTCAAGACTATTGATTGACATTGATAGATTTCCAAATACCGCATTTCCCTTGACATTTTCTGCACTGTAATGTTCAATACTATTCACACAGAAACTTTTTTAGTACCATTATTAGCAATTACAATACCTACTATTTATTATAGGCCGAATTATTTTGTAACAAAATTATTTCCATAGGAAGAATATACCTCATATATTTCACCTCCAAATTCAAGATGGAAAGCTCTGTTGAAATAAATTACTATGTTTTTTCAAACAAATCAGTGCATAATAATGTTAAAAACGAAAATGAATGTTGCAATTGTTTTTGCAAAAAATTACAAATAGCATTACAGTCTTATTTATTAACATCTTGAACTGGAAAAGATGTTAAAGTAATTTGATTGACTCTCATGCTACTGTGCTCAAGCTTCTTGCTTGCAATAATATAATGAATTTGTAGGAGTTGTCTGCAACAAAATTAATGAAGTGGTTTGATCATAAGAGTTTAGCAGCACAATCTCTGACATTTGTACATATTTTTTATTTATGTTTTTGTATATATGTTTTCAAAATGTCACTTATGTTTATACTTTTGTACGAAAGAATAATGTCAGAAAGGTAGACAAATTGCATTTGATTAAAATCTTATATTCTTTCTGTTAATTACCCAATCTATGAAATACTATGAAAATATAATGACCTCAAAGTATCTTATATTAAGATACAATTGTGCTTGAATGATAATGAATTATTACTGTACTATTCAAATAAATATTCTAAAAGTGGCTATCAGTAAATTTATTTTCCTATACCTTTCCTTTGTAACCACAAATCTAATGTTTCATAAAGCAAGAAAGTAGGGATCCTCATTTAATTAACAATGCAATAATAATTGGTGAAGATAATCAATTCAATTGATTTTGTCATTTGAAGTAAAGTAAAGCTGTGTTTACTATTTTGAAACTGTTCTCGGCATTTGCTCTTGGGATCACTGGGAAATAGGACAAAAACTACAATCAAGACCTTCATTGTCTATGATCGATCCACTCAGGAGAAATTGTATGTTCAAACAAGTTTATTAAGAACAATTGTATTGTAAAAACAAGGAACATAAATAATTGATTGGTTTATAACAATTAACAATTGAAATATTAAAAACAAAGATAAGATGAAAAGATACTCTCACATCAGCAGAATAAAGGAGGAAAGACTACCATTAGCAATGATAAGATATAAAATATTATAGGATAATGAGATGTGGGGAGATCATAACTATAATTGTTCAGTTAGGGATATATAGTATTAGTCACCAAGTTTACCTGAAAACAGGAAAAGGTGACATGCCTTTTAATGTGCAGCACATGAGGATAGTGAAATTTAAAAAATAAAAGTCAACGAAAATAGAGAGTTCAAAACAACAAAAATATGAAGGAGAAAATAATGGGCAGAGTGAAAAGCAGGAGAAGGATAAGGAAGTATGTGGAAAAGGAAGAGAAGGACAAGAGAAAAAAAGGGAAGGGGAGACAGAAAAAAAGATGAGAGCGTAGGCTTCCGCGGCATAGAGTAGAGATATATCTCCTCTATGTTCTCTCCTCTATCTCTATCTCCTCTTGTGTCTCTCCTCCATGTTCCGCGGCCGGAGTCAGTACTTACTTGGCTATCCGGCATGCCCTGAACGCGGCGTCTCCCGGGTAGCCAAGTAAGAAGAAACGATGTTTCGATTCCCGTTATTTTTCAACATTTCAATAAAACAATAAATATTGCATTTACTTAATTTCTACCAGCAATTAGAACTATTCGTTCGAAAAGTTTGAAGACAAAATTTGGAGCCGTTTTTGAGAAAATGACGTTTGAGCGTTTCTGAAAATGCGATATTATATGCTAGTTATCACAGAAAACAGTTGAGTTTTTGATAAATTTTATCTGACATTATTAAAAGCACATGTGCTCATAATACATTAATGAAAATAAATTTCCGCTTATGTAAATATTAACGACGTAAGTCAAAAAAATCCCATTTTTGTATTTTTTGAAAAAACAAAAGGATAGAGCAATATGACGTTTATGTCATCTTATAAAGTAAATTTAGCACTATACTTGCCAATAGTTTAAACAAAAAATTTGGAGCCGTTTTTGAAACATCTTGTTTTTGGTAATTTTTGAAAATAACTAATAAAACTACTAAATTCTACTACTAAATAAATAAAACTACTAAATTTTTCACAAAAAAGAAAATGTACATGACCTTGATGAAAGAACTAACTACATTTTGTTGGCAATATTTTAATACTCCGAATACGGGAATATACGGGAAAATAAACTAGTGGTGCCCCGAAATGGTTCAGACTTTCCCATTTAGTTTTCCATTTCCTTTGGTCACGGCCAGCTATTCGAACTTGCCAAATATTCTTGCCAGCTGCCATCCATCGCCGCCCAAAGTACATTTTTAAAAAAATCTTAATTTTTCGGTTTCCATATAGTAGAATGGAAATATTATTTTATAAATATTGAACATTAAATCTCGTCATAAATGGCCAGTTTCTTTGGAAAATTTGGAGTAGTTATTAAGAAAACTATGCTTAAGCGCTACTGTAAATTCAAAATTTCAAGCTCTTTTTCACAGAACATTTTTGTATTTGAAAAATTTCATTTGAATATATTTGAAGTACTTTAACTCACAAATACAACAGTGTTTTCAAATTGATGGGAATGTGCATATTAACGCCGTGAGAGATAAAGAATTAAAATCGGTTCACGAGATTGGTCAATGTGGTTAGAGAAACAATTAGTTTGCGCCAACGTTTCGAAATTTATATTTTCTTCACCAGGGCTTACTAATGATCATACAGGTAACATCTCATTTCAAGCCTCCACACCCAACTTCAATGGAGTTGATTATACAATGGGCGTGAGATATCTTAAAAACACATTACATTTGTGTATTTTTTGAAAAACCAAAAGAATCCCCGAAATAAACTTTACGTCATATTAAAGAGTCCAATTAGCACTATCCGTTCGAAAAGTTTGAAGACGTAATTTGGAGCTGTTTTTGAGGAAGTGGCGTTTCAGCGTTTCTGAAGATGCGGATTTTTCAGCTAGTTTTCACTGAAAACGGTAGAGTTTTCGAGAGACGTTATCTGACATTATTAAAGCACATGTACTCATAAATACAATTATGTGAATGAATTGCCGCTAATATAAATATTAACAACGTGACAGACAAGTTAAAAATATTCAATTTTTGTAATTTTTGAAAAATCAAAAGAATAGAGCAATATTGCCTTTATTGAATGGATTTAGCACTATCCCTGCCTAAAGGTTAAACGAAAAATTTGGAGTCGTTTTTGAGAAAATCTTGTTTTTGTATGATTTTGAAATTGCAAATATTGTACGTAATATATTGCGAAAACTACTAAGTTTCAAACAATGTGCATGGCCTTAATGAAAGAACTAATTATGGACAACAAATTTCATTTGACGGAAAAACCTCTATCTTCAATTTTGTAGTTGTAGGAAGATGCCGAAAAAAAATCATACTTTTGAAATTTTCAAAAATTCAGAGTTAACCTTGAAAATCGGACCTATGACTCTTTTGTGTGTATGTTTCTCCTTTTTTACAAGAAATTTAAATGAAAAATTGTAGCCGTATTTGAGAAATTTTTGAAAATTTCCAAAGAGATACATACAAAGTACCCCCAATTTTTAAAGAATGTTTTTCAAAAGCTCAAAGCTTCGACTCGAGCCAGATTGATAACGGTTTCTTCAAGTTGGGTAATACTAAATCTGTAACTATATTAACTGTTTCATGAAGAAAACACAAACAAAAATCCCACAATCGTAACGCAAACAACTCATTATTTCCCACAACGGTAGGGGCAGGGCCCTCATAACAACCTTATAACGTTGTGGAAACCATTACGGTGGCGCGCTCTGCTGCATTACTTTCTTATAGGAACTAAAACACGAACTGCTGCCAACGATACTTTAAACGTTCGTGGCTGCTGCGTGAGTTCGCGGGTCGGAAGCAGCCCCGTAATGTTACAAAATATAACGTCTATGTTCGCGATTTCTTTGGAGGTTTCTTATAATTATACATTGTGAATAATTGAACATTTAGAAGACACTTTTCGAATTTCTCACTAATTAGTTAATTTGTATGTGGGAAAGTTGGCAAGTTTAACGTGCAGCTGCACTGGGCGACACTAGCACCTCCTATAGTAGCGCCCTCAAGCATTGCCCCGGTTTTCAGAGTTGCAGGGCCCTGGGTAGGGGGCTGAGGCGAATTTGCTTAAAGGGTTGCGGGGAGTGGAGTGCAGCGCGGAATCAGTCTGCACGTGCTGGGAACCCAGGCTCTCTGCCCAGTGAGTGCAAGAGAGATGGCGCGCGAGCCTTGTGCGCATGCGCAGCAAAGCCAGCCGGTGTCTTCACAAGCAGGCTCTCCGCTCACCCCATACTGGCCCATACTCTCTGATTCAGTTAAGCGGCCCTGCTGATCCCCTTTCGCGTAAGCAGGGAGAAAGAAGTCTAAACATTTAATTTTCTTTAACTATTCAGTGAAACATATTGAAGAAAGGCACACATAACAATACATTTTGTTGAAAAATAATTTGGGTGCTCAAAGGCTCCCAGATAACCCTTCAGTTTCGCCACTGCATTTCAGTTTAGCTATTAGCTCTTGTGCCTCTTCCTTTTCTAAACCCAGCCTGTTCTACCGCCAATTCTCTTTAGATAGGATTCTAATATTTCATTAATTATTTTGAGGATTATCTTGCTAACATGAGGAATTAATGCAATTTCTTATAGAAATGGTAGCAATACACGAATAGACTGTGTCCATCCATTTGATATCACTGTAAATTTTAAATTATCATACGTCACTTCAATATGTCAGTTTTTAAAGAAAATTAACACGTTTACGAAAATAAAGTGTATTATTCTGTGAGACCACGGAGCTCCTCAATTTTTTTGGCGGGGCGACGGCACTCCTACCTCCCTCCCCCCATTCGCAAACCTATGCAGTTTATACTTCTCTCTCACACGTCATATACCGTTTTTATTTTCTTAATTTTTGTACGAAAAATAAATTAAATCACATGACTCAAATTAATATAAAACGCCGAGTTTGTTAAACCGTTCAAATTCCCGCTCTTTGTGTAAATCTTTGCCATCTAATGAATAGCTTTGTAAAGTGGATACCCGATTACGCTTTAATAGATACTTCAAATTATGATTTCTATGTATTACGTGACCTTATTTATTTAATGAATCCTATTGAATTTTTAGAAACTCTGATCTCTCTTGCTCGTTGTCTGGCTCGGCCTCATAGGAATCGCCTGGAGTCGCTTATAATTTTCTCTGGTCGCTGCTACCTTGTGCGCGACGTTTATGTTTTGCAGAACTTGTAGAATTCTGATCTGATGCGTTTGAATCGTTGATTATTTGTATTTGGTGCCGGTAGTTGTTGTGAAAATGGCGTTGTGTTGTGCTAGTAAGTATAATGAATTTATTCAGTGGGTGAATATTGTTTGAATAACATTATATTTTTTAAACTTTGTGTGACACAATAGCGTGTGATTTACGAAGTGTGAATGTGTTAAACTTGTTTATCTGAACACAGTTCTCTAATCTACATTTTTATAGTTCTAATGAAGTATTTTTTTATGGTGTAATAATAGAAGCTATTATTAACTACGTGAATATTGTCTGTTGAATTGCAATAATTACATTATTGTTAACTCTTACATTGATAAGTGTCTTTTGAGGTTAGGTGTGGTATAAAGTTACTTCTTCTGCCTTTAAATGGTGGATTATTGAGAATTCATGAAGTTTTTTGAGAATGTAACATTTGACATGTAAATAAAATTAAATATTGATTTTACATTAAAACAATTATTTTATAGTTTCCAATGAAGTACCAGAACATCCAGTGATATCACCTGTGTCAGGAGCTATCTTCGAAAGACGACTGATTGAAAAATATGTCGTGGAAAATGGAGTTGATCCTATTACTGGCAAAGATTTGACTGTTGAAATGCTCATAGATGTGAAAAGTATGTCAATATGAGTTTAATGTTTGATAACATATCAAGATTCAGTAAAAAAAATTCACAAATTGGCATTCTTGTTGTAGCAACTCCTATTGTGAAACCTAAGCCACCATCAGCTACCAGTATACCAGCTATTTTAAAAACTCTTCAGGATGAATGGGATGCTGTAATGCTTCATAGTTTTACCCAGAGGCAGCAATTGCAAACAGCTCGGCAAGAATTGAGGTACATTTATTCTTATGTAGTTGTTATATTACTGAGTTGTGATTGTGTGTGAAATAATTGTTCTATCATGTTTTAATTTAGAGTAAAATTAATATTTGCCAGTCGTACAAGTGCTGGTATACATGTGCTCTACGTACTGAAGAAGTACTCTTCAGATAATACACACTCTCATATTCAAAATGTTTTTGTTTGTTTTTTTAATATCTAAAATCCGTACATTATAAACTTTACTTAAAATTCTTTTTAGCCTTTGGTTATCCCTCATGGAAATTGAAACACAATGTAACGTATACTTTCAAGAAATTTTGGATGTAATTATATTCTGTATGTAAAGTTTGGGTTGGTTATTGTTGTTGTTGTTGTTTTTCTTTCTGATTTACAAATACGATGCAGTAGAACCACATTTTAAGAGAAGACCTCTTTTAAGACTGCCGATTTGAGTTAACTCAAGTTCCAACGTATAAATTAAAAGAATTTTCTTCCCACATATATGAGACTCTTTCCAGGTTCTCCCACTCATAGTAAACATATTGATTGAGGAGGAATTTCCTTCCCTGGGAGTGAAAGTTGGAAGATGAACAACAAATCAATGGTGTCCAGGTATAGGGAGTTAGTCATTAAAGTGAGTTTGAAAAAAAGTGGAAATCAAGTGATCATTGTAAAACTGAGACTATTTCAAAAACATTAAATTCACTACAAATCTAGTAATACAGGTGCTGATCCATGGGGAGGAAAATGAGGGATATTTCCCCCCCTAAAATCTTTCATTAACTATTAATTTTAATTTGCCATGAGACTTTCAAGCAAAAACGTTTTCAGATTATCATTAAAGAATAAAATTGTATCGCAGCATTAGCTGAGTATAGCCTGTGACATTTTACAATATCTGTTATATGATATATTCAACAGAAATATTATGAATTTTCCGTCCCAAAATTCGTCTCTGGATTTATCCCTGAGTAATAGTAAATCCGTTGAGATTCCCTTGTTAACTCAATAAGAAAAATAAATCCACTTTCACAAAAAATTACTTTATTTCTCTTTACCCATCGAAATTATTCCATGTGGTGAGCCAGCTGTCTCTCTTTGTGCAAAAGAAGTGATCCTGTCTGTGGAAGTACCCTTTTAAATATAACCTAACTTTGTGAAAGATAAAAATTGTTTGCTAGTTTTCCAGTTACTGTTTTGTGATGTTCTTTAACAATATTAATTTGTATTCCTCCAGTCACGCTTTATATCAGCATGATGCAGCGTGTCGTGTGATAGCTAGATTGACAAAGGAAGTAACTGCAGCTCGTGAAGCTTTGGCAACATTGAAACCACAGGCTGGTATCACCACGAATCCAGCTGGAATACCTCAGCCTGTGAGTACTTTTCTGTAAATTTGAGGGTGCTTGAAATGAATCTTTTAGTAAAATTATTTCTTATTCTTGTAGGCAATTGCTGTGGAGGCTGGTGGTGTTGCAAATCAACCTACAGAACAAGCAGGAATGAGTGCTGAAGTTCTTCAAAAACTGCAGGAGAAAGCAACTGTTCTTACTCAAGAACGCAAGAAACGTGGCAGAACAGTTCCAGAAGATTTGGTTTCCTCCGACTCCATTCGTACTTTCCATACTTTAGCATCACATCCAGTGAGTGTTGATTTCTGTGAGAAAATGAGTAGAATATATGTACATTTTACTCTTTGGATTATCTCTTCAAATTCAGAGTTGGAGAAATGTTTTCAATTCATATATTTGTTCACTTTGTTGTAACTTCTAATTTGGAAAAGCTAAGTTTGTTTAAAGAATTAATGCTTCTGCATATGGCATACATGACATGATTGCTTCGCGTGCTTCCAATGCTTCTAGTGTATCAGTTGCATGTTGTTTGTTCTTCATGCAGAGAGTCTTGTAGGATTATTATGTACACACTTCTGTTTCATGATTGTTATTTTGATAACAAGATAACTTGTTAAAAACAGTTTTAGAACAAATGATATATAGTGAAACCTGTCCTAAATGACATGTCTGACATCAGTGTTGGTTCTGGAGAACAATGGTTGTTATTACTGGTAGTACTTAATAAAAGGTATGAGAATATTTTGTCTTTCTAGATTTCATCGGTGTGTGGTTTTTAAATAATATGTCAATGTGTTTCAAGACAGGAAACACCAGTAATATCAATCTCTTGTCATCTTCTGTAGTGTTATGGTGCAAAGTGTCAGGTGTAGTAACTGTCTATTATAGGTTATATGTTAAATTTGCCAGGCTTCTGGTCGTGGTACTGATGACCATTTAAGAGGGAATATTTCCACAAGTCTTTAGGAAAAATTTCCACAAAAAATAGCCAGTAATTGAGGTGACCACTGAATTGAGATGGCATTTCAGCAGGTTTCACTGTACAAGCATTAACAGGTGTTTCCAAATCAATTTAGGTATTAATGTTCTCAATCTGAAAACTTTGTTTTCCATTTTAATATAACGATATTTACTTGTATTTGTGTGACTGGGGGGGGTTATCTAATTGCAGTAAATCTATTACTAGATGTTAAATGTAATTGTTTTTTTGAAAGATGATACAGCTAAGAATCTCTTAGTGGTGTTTGAGATTACATTCATTGGTGATATAAGGTATTATTCATTTGTACATTAATGTTTTCTGTTCAGGCTCTGCATAGTGCCAGTATTCCAGGAATTCTTTCTCTTGATATTCATAGTGCAGATACTAGTAAGATTCTCACAGGAGGTAATGATCGTAATGCTACAGTGTTCAACAAAGATACAGAGCAAGTTGTGGCTATTCTAAAAGGTCATACAAAAAAAGTAACTCGTGTGATATATCATCCTGATGAGGTATGATTAGTAGTACTTATTTAACTGATTGTGAATTAGTTCCTATTTGTTTTTTATTTTGTTTTTTGCCAATGCTTTACTTCGATTTCCAGGATTTGGTAATCACTGCCTCACCAGATGCAACTATCAGAGTTTGGAATGTACCTACATCACAGACAACCCAGATGTTGAGGGCACATGAAGGACCAGTTACTGGTCTCTCATTGCATCCAACCGGAGATTACGTACTCTCCACTTCAACTGATCAGCACTGGGCGTTCTCTGATATTAGAACTGGACGTTTGCTGACAAAGGTATTGATTTCTGATCAGCTATATTTACACATTTTTGTGACAAAACTGTTAAAATGTTGAAAAAATAGAACTGTTTCTGTATGTGATTGACACTTCCAAGACACTGCTTTACTATAGAGACCATCAATAAGTACTTCTAAAGATGTGAAGATGACGGTAGAGCACTGTGAACAGTTGTTTTGAAAATGTGTCGATTATCTTTAATTTTATAATTTTTTACAAAATATTATTCCTTCAACATCAAGTTAAGAGTGGAATTGCTTTTCAAATGTCTATCATTTTTTGTTGTGATTTTCTTGCATAATTCTTGTGACACTAATGCATTAAAACTTGAATGAATACAGATATTTTTTAATATACTTTTTGCTAAAATTTTCCCAAAATGTCATCCAATAAAATGTTCAAGTTGTACATTATTCAAAATAAAGTTGAAGTTTTGATTGTAGGTTGCAGATCAAGATTCACCTGGTATTGCTTTGACAACAGCACAATTTCATCCAGACGGTCTCATTTTTGGAACTGGAACATCAGATTCGGAAATAAAAATTTGGGATTTAAAAGAACAATCTAATGTTGCCAATTTTCCAGGTAAAGTTTCTTTGTTATTATTTATTTCATATTTTTATTATTAATATTATTGTTATTTGTAAGAGCCAACGTGGGCTAGGTTTGTTTCAAGTGGCTGGATGTTTTCCTTTCTTATTTCCTAATGTATTTTCATTCTTCTTCCTGGTGTTTCTCCTACCTTATCTTAGGTTTTTCCTGGGAGCAATAAGCGCCATTGTTTTGTTGTGCATAATTTTGCTCCCATTATTATTGCGTATATTTTACATTCTGATTGATTCATGGATACTAGCAAATCTATTATACTTGTTTGTTTCTCTGTTGTAAGTCACAAAACTGTCTTGCATAAAAATGATTTTAAAAAAAATTATTTCCCTAAATATGGAGAAGAAAAATCCCATAACATCTCATTGTGTACTTTCAAAGAATAAATAATGTTCTCGTGAGACAGCACATGTCCCCAATGAAAGAACAGTAGATTCCCTTTTGTTTCCTCACTTGTTCATTGCAGGTTGTCACATGTTCCCCTGAAATATTCTCCTTGTGTTTTTTTGTACCAGCCTAACCATTGTCATAAGCAGCCAGAGTAAGAACTGTTCATTTCATTTTTCTTTTGATTCAGGCCGATTGCTCCATAGAAGTTAATTTCAAAAAAGATTTCATTCTTTGTGAAGTATGAATTAGCAGATTACGACTTTGTGGCCTTGATGCATAAATAACTCATATTTAATTAAAACCTAACCTAATCCTAAAAAATAATAAAAACCTTCAACAAATAGAAATGAAAGCGAGTACTTTAGCTTAACAATAGCATGTACTTTCTCGCTTCATTAATGGTGACATAAAATTAAAATTCTGCAATTTCTGTCCATATTAACACTTTTCAGCCGTCCCTTGTAAAACTCGTTACCAATCAGAGCACATTAGAAGCCAAAATTTAAGGTAATACACACGCCAATAAAAATATCGCGACATACTGGCTTTGCTTTTAGTGCACCCTAAGTGAGCATTCACAGTTTCATGGCACACTTTCAGAATAGCTGCCCGATATTTAGTGGGAACCACTAACATATTAAAATTTTCACTGCGCTTGCTGTGTCTGGACCGATACAAAATACTGTTTTTAACGAAATAAACAACTCGCCCGGTTTCTGGTTCACAGTGCTCATACGTGTCATATAATACTTTAATCTCCTTGTCACTTTGTTGTGACGTGGCAAACTCGTTCTGGCTAATATTTATGAGTTCCTTCACTTGGGGATTCAGTACACCTGCACTTTCATTACTTGTAATTCAAAATGTTCATTGCAAGGTTCAAAGCAAACAAGTATTAATTGTTGAGGGAGATTTCATCATCCACCAAATACTAGTAGTTATAAAGTGGAAAACACAGTAATGATAATGAAGCGTGATAGTGAAAGTGATGACAATAATAGAAGTACTTCGTCTGTAGTATTTTGTCTAAAAGCCCAATGTTGTGCTAACACAACAAATTAATACACATTTTTTTTTCAGAAAAATGATTTGATATAAATTTTGTTCTGTATCACTACTGCACTAAGATAAATGCTATTCGATTACTTTTAACTTTTCATTATATACGAGCATAAATTAGGCTTCCTTGAATTTTGAAACTTTGAGTAATGTAATGGATTGTCCAATCAATAATCATTTTTTTATTTATTATACACTATCACTTCTTTTACTGTATATTACACGACACTCTGCTTAACCTTCCATTGTTTCAGAATATTACAAGAAGTGCTTATAACCTTATTATTGATAATTTACAAATAATGTTGCTTCATTTATGCAACTAGGATTAATGACTATATGATACGAACATGGGAGAACAATGCATTGTTGTGTAAATAAACAATGGAAGGTAACTGTTGTTTCATACTTCATTCCTGAATATATTATCTCATCTTGAGATACTGTCTGATCCTGCATTGTTGCATCATTGCTTACAATGCTTCAAATGTATTTATATATCTTCTACAAAATTCTGCTTATGTCAGAATGATGGAAGAAAATAAAGGCTTCTGAACTTATTTCTGGAGAAGAAGATGTTCTTAATTCTGCAAATATGATTGATGTGTCTGTGCACATTCTCCTAATGTTCACTCAATGACATAACAGAAACATAGATGATTTTGGAGGAAAAAGAAAAATAAAAATTGATTAACTTGTAATGTCAACTTCTGAATATTAATATTAGATAGCGAATGAAGAAAAGATGTCAAACTTATAATTGCACTCTTATTTCGCCACACTAATGAAATCAGAATATATGTTCTCTGTTGTCAGTCGCTTGCTTTCGCCACGAGATTCCGGGTTCAATTCTGTAGACCTCGTGTGAAATTTGTTACGACAACAATTTACTACTTCACAGGGGTAGTCAACACTGTGAGGTTGTCCTAAACTACACAATCTAATTCCTTCCCAATCTTGGCTGCTGAGTTGTGACACGCAGGTGGCGTAGTAGGAGGCTTTTGCGAGATGCTATTTGGCGGTCTTTTGACAACTGACTGCGATGAGACATGACAGCTATGAAATGTTAATGATTGAAAAATCTCACTTGATCGACCCAAACACTTCCTACCTAAAAGTATGTTATGTTTGATGTATGATTACTGACGAGATGGCTCGAGCATAAATTTTGTCACTGCAGTACCTCTAGATCCAGTTAAGGTCTCAGTGTTATTTGCCTGACAATAGCGAACTCTCATAGTAGATATCAATACTAAAGTTACGTGCTGGAGAGAAATGTCTTGTGCCCGGAGCGATTTTCCTTACCCTTGGTGATAAACAGGCATATGCCTGAGCCTCAACCCCAAGAGAACTGGACAAAGACCAATGATCATTCCTCTCACCTTGTCCTATGTAACGTATACAGCCAGCGTGCCTCATGGCATCTATTTGGTACTTTGGAAGAAGATTAGCCTCAGCACAGGAAGAGGTTGTTTTTTTTCCGTAAAGGGAAAAGGCGGAAAACGGAGACCAAAGGCTTGTGGAGATCCGCGCACTATAGATCTTTCACTGTTATACTTAAACGAGGTGGTGGGTGAGCGTGAGTAGGTCACGTGTGGCTCGCCATAGTTATAACAGGGGTACAGAGCCAGTGGTGTTCTGAGAGACATGGGAGAACCTCGTGCATGGTGCACAAAACATGGCGCACGAACGGTGATATGCGAGCCAGCGTCGCAGGCGGAGTGCACATATTGACCGAAGCCTCGGAACTTTAGGTCTTTGGTGACTGCGCTCACGGGAAGCGAATGCGCTTGGTGTGCGTCTCCCGGAGTGAAGAGTGTTGAGTGCCAACGATTCACGCCGATTCTCAAACGGATTAAAGATCGCCCTGCGATCGAGCAAACCAGCCGTTGATGTCGCGAGCAGAACGACTTTTGTGCCAGCGAGACATCTTGTCAGAAGCTAGGCCTTTGTGCGCGTTCAAAGAGTAGAAGTGGGAATCGCCACAATCAAAACCATATGCAATCGCGTAGAATCGCCTTCCGCGATCAGGCGACTAGCTCTATACAGAGCTAGGGGTTGCAAGTAGATTTTAAGTGTATACTTTTGCTTTTGTTTTCTTGTTAATAAATATATTGTTATATTGAAAGCCCATGTGTCTGTGGTCATTGATTCCATGACGTCACAGATGGATAACATAATGGTGCAGCGTAAACGTATCCACGGGGGAGGAGGATAGATCACCAAATATAAACATAATTGGTGGCAGCGGTAAACGTATCCCGACGGGGGGAGGAGAATTAGATCACACAAATATAA